GATGAAAAACCTTTCCGAGTAGTAATTCGAAACATCCACCCATCAACTCCATTAGCGGAAATAGGCATAGCAATAAATGAAAATTGGACAGTTCACAGTCCGTAATGTATCCAACGTCTTAAATAAAACCACTAAAAATAAACTGCCAATTTTCTTTATTGACTTGGAACCTGCGGAAATAAACAAAGAAATTTTCCATATCACCTCTTAGTTATATAAGTACCTACTTAAATATAATTTTCCAATTTTTTAAAAAAGTTATGTGAGGGGATACGACTTAAAGGCTAAAACAATCATCATTAAGATGGGTTGCTTGCTTCGAGTACAACAAAAAAATAAATAGTTGTAAATAGCTAATGTACTATGAGTTTGAGTTACTATTGAGTTACCTACTTATAAAGCAATTAATTATTAGTTAAATTATTATGCAGTGATGTAAAGTATTAAAATACTTTTTATTTTGAAGTATTTGAATGGCATTTTAAATAGGTACTTTTTTTTTATTCTTTTAATAAAAATACCATGCCGTTGTGGTTATGCTTCAGCGTTATAAAAATATTATATTTATCATTTATGAACAATTCGATATCGGTTTTCATCGATCAATAGCTTAATTAAATGTTTTTTTGTCCAGGAAACATTTTATCGTTGACTATTTTTTTTGTTAGGTATCTAACCTAATCTAACCTATTCAGTTTTCACATATTTTAATAATTTAATTTTGTATGGTAGGACTCAGTCGTGGCGTTGAAGTTTAAAACTTTGCGTCTTCAATATCTTGAATATTTAATATGGAAATATCCTAATACATTCATTTACTCATAAACAATAATCATTGCTTAAATATCTCATACTCATGCTTCACTTGTAAAGTGATTATGAAAATAAAATATGGACTGCCATAGTGCCATGGACCAACGTTAGCATGGACTTTGGCGCCACTAATCGACAGTTTGTTGTTCGAAATTCGACTGTTCAACTATGGTCCATTTTTGTAACAATACAATATAATATTTTTGAATAACACGTATTTAATAACAAAATATTTTATTTTTATTTAAATTATAAAATTGGTTTGTTATACACAGATTATTAGGATATACAGTACATCTTAATTTATAGTTAGAACTTAGAGCTCAAACGTTTTCCTCAAAATGTGAATAAAGTTACAGAGTACCTACATCGTATAAATCATAAGTGATAAGTTGCCTGTAAATCAAAATAAAATTTTAAAATATTTCAAAAAATAAATAGACTTACCACAAGGCTCCATTTAGTCATACAAAATTCAAGAAAATTTGAACAAATGATAAACTATAATGTTTAAGCTTGACGATATTGAAATGTGCATTTATACAAAGCTTATTAAACATATAAAAAATAAAACAAAACATTAAGTAATTTCTTTACTTTCACAAACTTCATGGTAGATTATAATAACAAACTAACAATAAATAAAATACATAGGTAGGTAGTTAATAATTACATCAACATTTATCTTGTAAATAATTCAAAGGTGGCTGCTTGACATTCAACAAGCAAACAGAATTCTTGCCTTCAGCACCACAGCCAGTAAATAGCACTGCACAAAGTGCAAATGAAGACATTGCTGCCCAATAATTTTCGCACCAAAGATTTACTTGGTCTAAATTATTTTTATTTTTTAGTTGCATATGTGCCATGCAAAACCGATTAGTTGTGTCTTCCATTGATTTGCACACAGATTCTAATACAATTTTGTTGGTAGAATGTTCGTCAACACTTAATTTGGATGTTAACCATACATTATCATATGCTGCCATTAGATTCTTTTTCAGATGAACATGACCTGTAAAATATTAAAATTAATTTTAACACAACTAAATATGTTTTTTTTTTATCGAATTATCATCATGTATATTATATTATAAACTGGTAATTTTGAACAAAGCTTAATTAGAAAAAAATTATAATAGATTAATAAAACTATAACAAAAATATACAAGGAATATATTTATATTGTTCAATATAAAAGTTAATAATTTTGAAAAACAGTAGAACCGCAGTAGTTGATAAATCAGACAAACTCTGACTAAATTATGTCTGGATTACTAGATGATTTGAAAATATACACAAATGTTCAACACATTTTGTTCCACCACTTTTAATTAGCAGTTCTGATACAAAATTACAAAAAAAGTATTTCTTTTAATATTAATTTACAGTTAGATGTAACAATAAATGTCAACAAAAGGGCAAGTTATTAGTTAATTAAATTAAATTATTTATTGGCAAAGAAATCAGTGACATATTTTAATGTAATGTTCTCAACTTTTGATTTTCACACAATTCGAAAACATTTTGGACAATAGACATGATAAAATGTAAATGTGAGAAGGCCTCCACAACAAAATTGTTGAACAATTGATCAATTTGTTTCATAGGTTTTTGAATTATAACAAAATAAAGAACTGGCGTATGTGAAAATATATTCTACGGATGAATATTTTATGTTGTAGAAATTTTAAGTTCAAATTCAAAGGTACACTAAAAACTATTGTGGGTGTAAGCTCAAAATTTTTTTGAATTCCAGATCAAAAGCAGAACATAATAAAATAAATATATAAATATGATAATCGGTTAGAAAAATAATAACTATAATATGTTGAATAATGTTTAAAATTAGTACAAAATTATCTTAAGTTAAGGATGGATGTTTTATACAAAAAAACAGCACCTGACCAAAAATAAAATTAAAGGGAAAACAATGTCGATTAGAAAAAGAATGTTACTATTGTTCATTGTTATTTATTAATATTACCATTTAAACATTTATTAGACTATAGATAAATGTCATATCAAAATATAATTGTCTAGATTCTAAGGTGGGAATATTAAGAAATAAACTTAATGATTCATAACTATGGTAAACTATACCAGGGGAAGAGTTTGATCAGAACTTTAGATAATGTAGAAACTGATGTTGAACTTTTTCAATGTTATAAATAATTGTTTTTATGATAAAGGTTCTAAACTGCAGTTCCATACTTTAAGAAGGGTCTGACTAAAGAGTTGTAAAATATAGCTAAAGACTTTATGTTTGTACACTTTCCAATATTGGAAATATTCAAATTAAAACTATCAAATAGTAATATGACAAAAATATTATATGTGTAACACCAGAGTTTGGAAGAGCAATTGACTTAGGATTTTATACTTGACAAAATGTGTTTAAATAACTTTAAAGCAATAAAATATTAAATTATCACAATTTTTTATCAATCATACTAAAATGATAATCACCTTTGGTTGAACTTTCTGAAACACTCTGCAACAATGCTAAAAAAAATTTAAATGTTTCTATGTGCTTGACATTTATTTTTGTTTTTACATTTACAAATTCAGCTAATCTCTTCTGACCAATTAAATATGCATCTCCATAAGTTAGAGCTATAAATAAAATACAATAAATATAAAGTTAAACAGTTGTATTAAACTTGAATTCAATGATATAATATCATTGTATAAGAAAAACGATTCTGAGAGGAGACGGTTTGCCAGTCTGGATATTTTATGTTGTTATTAGTTATTATATCATGTAAGTTGAAATTTGAATTAATATTATAATATTATTATTTTTTATTCGTTTCTATGGAAATAAACAAAGCGTTAGAAATTAAAATCCAATTTTTATCGGTTTTTCGTAATTTTTCGGTGGTTTTTATCGTGGCATTAAATAACTATTGATAAAATCGAAAAATGACCTCTCTAAAGTACCATCTTGATCCAATTTAATAAAAGATAAGGTACTATATAGCACGGACTAAGATATACATATCTAAGATATAGATATATATATCTTAGTCCGTGTATATAGTGAAATCGAAGAACTCCTTCCAGTAGAAATTTTGTGTACAGGGTATAAAAATAAAAAATAAACATCATTGTAAAACAACTAGTTTCCTCGCTCCGCTCAGAATCTAAAATGAATGAAAATATAAAGACACACCTACAAGTAGATTACTGATTAGTATGGTATTTGATATATTTTAGGGTAAATAGTATATACTGTAGAGACCAGGGAACTTGTGGCATGCATGATACATGATTGATTGAAATATTTTTATATCTTTGTTAATCTAATAGTTCATGAAAAAAATTATTTATTATTATTTATTTCTAAAAAATAATGTATTAAAGTTTGAAATTCACTGGAATTTCAGATATGAGATTTTGTACTTTGAAAAATGTTGCTTATTTTAACTAACTCAATATTTGAGTCAAAATATATGTATGTGAACATTTATTTTCTTCAACCAATGATATCAAATCAAAACAAAGGGATACTACATTGTTGGATAAAGCAAATGTTAATTAATACTTATGTGTTGTTAAAACAACTTAAGACTTGTAAAATACATAATGAATATTAAAAAAATTATAGTGATTTGTTTTAGGCCTCCTATATACTGAGAAAAAAGTATTTTTATCATTTTTTTAAAAACTGATACACAATATAGGCAATAGACCTGAAAAATGTTTGCCACAGTTGGTAGTTGGTATAGACACATAACTTTTTGAACAGTCATAAAATCATAAATCTAACAAGTTTAAATTATATTATTATAAAGTACCTACCTATTAAAAGAATTATATAAAATTATTGTCAAGTTTTATTTAATTATTCTTAAACAGATAATTAATTCATATTTAAAATTAAAATAGTTCCCACACGGCCACACATATCTAAATTTTTTTCTGAATACCAAAATTTTTTATATTCTGAAAGACACCAGTGACTTGTAAAATTGAAATGTCGCCTACCATAATAGCTCATAAGTCATAATAATTACCAGCAACTTACATCTAATTGTTCATTAACAATAGAAACTCTAGTAAGTTTATTTCTACCAATAGATGTATAACACATTTCACAATCAATGGCATAAATTGGACTGTCATCGGTAACAGGCAAGTAATGATTTTTTGTAAAACGGAAGCAATCCATTGTAAATTGACATTTATTGGTACCTAGGTAAAGGATAATTGTGAATCATCATTTGGTTTAAAGACATCAGTAAGCGAGTTCGTGAGCAAATTTCATTTTTCTCATTATTTTCTTTTAGTGCTAATGTGGATTCAGAGACTATATTATTGGTTATTGCATTAGTTGTGTCGGTATCTATTGAAAAATAATAACATAACTATTTATTAGGCTATTTTCTAATTATCATTTTTTTTTTTGCCAAAAATCTACTTAAAATTATTTTAATAACACAACTTAATATTTACCATGATCAGCACACCAACTTGGGGGTAGCTTAACTTCAATAGGTGGTAAAAATTTATACTTTGAAAACATTGGCAAAGAACTATTAGAATGTGAAAAATCTTCTTTAGTTTTTACTTCACATCCATTGATTATTAAAACACAAGTTTGATTCAAGTTGCATTGCATTTCTAAACTTGACCAACTAAAATGATTAGATACATTTTTTACAAAATAATTAAGAATTTTCACTAACCTAACAATTTACTTAGGAACATATTTTCCTGGACCATAAACAGAATATAAAATTAACTCAATTAGGTCAGAAGGTAATAATGGACTTTCACTGAAACCATTATCATTTTACTGTGACAAATATCCTCGGGTATTTAGTAATATTCTCGGGAAAGTCTGAAAAATAAATTTATTAAATTTTATAATGCAATAATTGTATTTAAGTTAATGGTGGAAATGTATTATAACAATACTAGTGTATTCATTTTTAATATGTCTTTAAACTGAGCCAGATACAATATTAATAAAATATATATTTTAAAATACATTTTTGATGCATTTGAATATTAACATGAAAAAAATCAACTATCAAAACTATTTGTAAATTGTAAGTATTATAAAACAATGTAATTGATTCAAAAACATATGATAGGTATGAATTTTTAAGTATAAACATAGAGACTAGAGAGTACAATTGGATTTTTCAATATCATACCATATTTTAAAATTATGATTACGTACATGGCTTATACTTATTTAGCCATGATTAGGTAGATAATATACAATAGTAAAGATATTGTTCTTTTACAGGAAAAGAATTAAAAATCTTATATACATCAGGCCATAAAATGTGTAGTGATCAATATAGACAATAATAATATATGTCTAAATAATTGTTTAAATAGTTTAGTTTAGACTTTAAAAACTTGTTATTAATATACATAAATTTAAGAATCATTAATTTTGAAGTAATTACTTACTTTTAAATTCTTTTAAATAGGGTTTTAGTTTAGAATACTCTTGTTTGGTAAGTGTTTTCCTGCCGATGTAGGATGAAAGTTGCTAGCAAGTACGTTTGGGCTTGACCGCTCAGCAACAATGACAGCTGGTAGGTCAAATTTTGCTTACCTGACATGTTAAATGCTACACAATGGCTATTTGTACGTCTGACTTGAAGTATACTTGAGTAAACAATTTCACTCATAATAATATAAGCAATAATTCCACTATTCACTATAATAATTATTTATTATTTAATAATTTCACGTGCTGCCAGCTCCATTATCTATTTTATGCATCCTAGACGACTATAGATAGTAATATAAAACATTTAAAAACATATGCTTTTCATTGGCATGACAAAACAATTGTTACTAATAGGTTTTAAACGAAGACAAACGAATTGTACTTACTAAAGCAGTTTTATTAAAATGCATAAACAAATAACAACAAACATACGAACATTACGAACAGAGCCCACAACCGGTACTCTGCGACTGACTATAACCATGACTGAATGGTCAAGCCCTTTTCAAAAAACAGGGTAGCCAACACTCGGCCATCCACCCTTACTTATCGACCTCGATAAGTCATTATATAAAACAAACTCAATTAAATTAATATTTTAAACAAATCTAAACAAATCAGTTCTTTAGATGGACTTAACTAAATTAATATTCTAAACAAAATTAAACAAATCAGTTCTTTAGATGGATTTAACTAAATTAATATTTTAAACAAAATTAAACAAATCAGTTCTTTAGATGGACTTAATTAAACATAATCTTCTAAATACTTTGGTGGTTTTCTTTGACGTTTAAGCTTAACAGTTTCTTCCACCCTTGGTAGATCAGCATTTGATTTGTTAGTCTCTTCATCTTCATCTGCTGATGACCCACTTCCTTTTTCCTCAAGCTGCTCCTCTTGCATTATTGAAACTGCCTTCAACTGAGACACATGAGCCGTTGTAGCATAAATGTGTTTACCATCCCTTGCCATCTCAGCGACTCGATATGTGTTTCCAGGTAGTTTCCCTATAACTTGCAATGGGCCCCGATACTTGGTCTGAAGCTTGGTAGATTGACCTGGGGTAGGTGCACGCAGCATTGCCACCATTTCTCCAACTTCATAGCTTATCGATTTGTTCCTTTTCTGATCATATCTTTCTTTCATTGATACCTGAGTTTTCAAAATGTTATCTCTTGCCTTGGCCTGTAACTCTACTGAATTCAAAGGCTGATGTGTACCAACACCATCTAGTAATCTCAGCACGCTTGAATGAAACTGAGGCCGGTATCCGTGGATTAACTCAAATGGTGTGTATCTGGTAGTCTTACTTTCCGTGTTGTTTATGTCACGTTCAACTTCTTTCAGCTTCTGATCCCATAATTTTTGATCTTGTGCTTGAATTGCAAGCATTGGCAATAAGGTTCTATTGGTCCTCTCCACTTGTCCATTTGCTTGCGGATGTCGAGACGAGTTGAGAGTGTGCCTGATCCCATTATGTTGACAGTAATCCTGGAACGCCTTGGAAGTAAAGCATGTCCCTCTATCTGTTATCAAACGATCCGGCAATCCCCATTGATCAACAAACTTCTGTAAACTTCTAATAGCTGATTGAGTGTGAGTGGATTTTGCTGGAAACAACAATACATATTTGGTAAGGTTATCTATTAACACTAATAAAAATCTATTGCCCTTCAAACTGGTTTCAAAAGGTCCCAAATGATCCAAGTGAACAACTGCAAATGGTCTTTTTCCAGGGGGAATAGGGTGTAACTCTCCTGGTTGTTTTCCTCCAGGCTTCTTGTTGACCAGACAATCCAAACATCCACCGATATGCATCTGTACATACCTACGCATTTTTGAAAACCAATAGTGTTCCTGAATTTTCTTTAGTGTCTGATCCAATGCCCTATGACCTGCCATATCATGGGCCATTATCACTATCCCCTTTCTCAGAGGCTTAGGTACCACAAAACGACTTATCCCCTCTAAATCTCGATACAATACACCATCCAACAACTTGAATTTATTTACAGCGTTCCTCTCATATGGAGTTCGGTCACCTTCACCCCTCTCCAATATGTTGATTAATCGACATGTATCAGGATCAGCTTGTTGCATGTATCGTACACGTTCTTCCAAAGTCATTAATGTCATAACCAAGGATCGATTATCCAATGCCTCTTCTACTGCTTGTACACTGTCCGTAGTACCTTCCAAACGACTCAATGCATCAACGTGAGCCATCCGCTCGCCTGATCGGTACTTGATATTCATTTCAAATTCTTGTAGTAGATCGAACCAACGAGCCACCTGTGGCTTTGCTGACTTGTTGGTGTTCAAATATACCAAAGCCTGACAATCAGTCACCACTGTGAATCTGATTCCAAGCAGATATGGCCTCAATCGAATTAACGTCCATACAATCGCGTATAATTCAAGTCTACTGGAGTGGTAATGTGATTCCGCTTCGGTTGTTCTTTTGCTCACCGCATACACTAAGTGTAGTGATTTCTCAGTGTCACCCTGCATTAACATGCCCGATAGACCTTTTGCGCTAGCATCTGTGTGTACTTCAGTCACCGGTGATTCGTGATTGTATAATTTCAACACTGGAGCAGATGTCAGTATACGCCTCAATTGTTCAAATGCTCCTTGTTGTGCATCCGTCCATTTCCATGGTAGATCCTTCTTCGTCAAAGCCGTCAGTGGTGCAGAAATGTCCGCATAATGTGTTATGAAACGACGGAAGTATCCTGTCAATCCGAGGAATCTTCTTAGTTCATGGACATTTTTTGGTCTTGGGTAATTCTCAATTACAGCTATTTTCCGACCTGGACGCAGCTGACCTTCCTTAATATTAAAACCTAAGTAATCCAATTCAGTGACTCCAAAAGCACACTTGGTTGGGTTCAAGGTTAACTTAGCACGTTCAAGAGCTTGAAATACTCTTTCCACTTTCCTACACATGTCTCCCCAATCTGTTGCTGGAATAATGACATCGTCGATGTAACAACGAACAACACCTTCCCTCTTGAGAGTTCCCAACACCTGGTCCATCAATCGGCAAAACTCAGCTGGAGCATTTCTCAAACCAAAAGGCATACGTTCGAACTTGTATACTGCATCAGGAGTGATAAATGAAGTCTTGTCTTTCGCTCCCTCAGCCAAAGGTATCTGTAAATAACCATTCGATAAATCTAAAGTGCAGAACATCTTACCAGCAGACAATGAACTCAATTGTGAATCTACATCCGGCATTGGATATGACTGTGATATTGTCTGACTATTCAATCTCCTGAAGTCAACACACAACCTCTTCTTTCCATTTGCTTTATTGACCAATATGACTGGTGACGCATAAGGAGACCTGGTCTTACTAATTATACCACTCCTGACCCATTCGTCAGTAATTTCCGCTATCTGTCTTCGCTCTTGTTCGGATGTGCGATACGGCTTCATCGATACAGGCTTACTGTTTTGTTCTTCCATTATCTCCATTGTCACCAAATCCGTGCAACCCAATTCTTGTAAATTTAATGCAAACACTGCACGATACTTATTCAGTAACACTGTTAGTTCTTCTTTTTGCGTGGAGTCAACCTGACTGCCTATTATCACATCATCTGTTGACAGTGACACTTTTGATGTTGACTGTTCTTGCACCAAGCATACTTGAACTCCATGTTCATGCTTATTAATATTGGCACATATTGATTCCACGTCCATATCTGCGTACTCAACGACAAACGTGTCATCTTGTTTGTGGTAAGTAATCTGAGGCAAATTGAGCCAAGACTGTCCAATCAATACTTCTACTGGAATTGCTTTGTCTTCAACTACTAAGAATTGCACCTTGTCCGTCTTAACCCCATCGATAACCAGCTCTCCCATTACTTCTGCTAATGAAGTGATTCTAGGTGTCTTCATATCACCCACAGCATACAATGGTTTGATTGATGACACTATTGGTAATTTGGTCCGTACAGCTGCAGACGATCGGATTAAACATACTGTACTACCTGAATCAATGAGTCCATTGAATTCAACTTGGTTAATTTTCACTTGTTTCCCAAACGGATTCTTCCCTGCACACCCCGCCACCACAACCTGGCACGTTCTGGCAGGATGTTCTTGCTTAACAGAAGGACATTTGCCCCGAGTATGTCCTTCGGCGCTACACAATGAACATTTCATTGGTCGTTTTGGTCTTGGACAATCGCGCGCTATGTGTCCAAAACCAGAACAATTGTAACACTTAATTGTACTGTGTCGTGAGTCAGATGTCGGTGATTCTGTTTTCGTAGTGGTTCGTGTCGTCGATGTGAACTTACTTGGTTCTGCCTGGTTACTTGTTGTTTCTTTTTTTGACCACATCTTACTATGATCGACTTTAGTAATTACGGAAGTGTTTGGCTGATCTCCACGACGATCAGACTGACGTTGCCACTCCAATATATCTATGAGTAATTGGTCTTCGTCATAGTGCTTCCTTCCAAATGCATACATCGCGAGTTCCCGAGATAAAATGCCCTGTAGAACATAATCGCGAAGTTCTTCGAACTGTAATCTGACACCTTTGCACAACCGCACCTTATCTTGAAAATATGACATCAGTGATTCATCCTTGTGTTGTACACGACTGCGCATAGCGTCCCACTTGTCGGCCATGCGTAATTCACGTACGAACACTAGTTTAAACTTCTCACGAAACGTGGACCAACTCACAAAATTTTTCGATAAAAACCAATTACGTGCCGCATCAGACATATTCGAACGTACAAAATGTAGACAAAATTTGGATGGCCACCGATTCAAATCAGCTAAACCCTCTATCGTTTCCAACCAATCTTCGGCTACGTGAGAAGGTTCCAATCCAGTAAAACATTTCACTGACTTATTGACGTCTGGGATGACACGAAACTCTATCGATTCATCATTTGTCTTAGTGTTCAATGGTGTCTCGTCATTTTTCACATTTACCAGTGCTAATTCATCTTCTAGCTGTTTGAGTTTAGCTCGTTGCTCGTTCACTAATTGGTACAATTCATTATACTTAGGTGCTGTAATTTCATCAACGTGATCACTCGACATCGTCACAACAAACGATTCGCTCAAGACTGACAAGAAAATCTTTGTGATAACAACGGCTTATCACATGTAAACATAACCAGCTTATCAGCTCTACTAGCGATGCAGTCATCGATTGACACACCGTAACGTCAACTTATGCGCCACCGTTACTTCCTCCGCACACTATTACCACTAAACCTCGTGGTTTCGCAACACCAGTAGCGACTAATGAATGTAATAAGCACCAACCGTCTTCTGTGTTAAAACAAAATCAAAACGGCAACTACACTCGCGAACTATGGATTTATGATCCCACTTCTGAAAATGTTACTAATAGGTTTTAAACGAAGACAAACGAATTGTACTTACTAAAGCAGTTTTATTAAAATGCATAAACAAATAACAACAAACATACGAACATTACGAACAGAGCCCACAACCGGTACTCTGCGACTGACTATAACCATGACTGAATGGTCAAGCCCTTTTCAAAAAACAGGGTAGCCAACACAATAATATTTGTTTTGTCATGTTTATCGGTATGCTCTCCAGAAGATTTTTTATTCATCCAATATCTATCAGGCATCATTACATTAGTCTTCAGATAAATACCCACATTATATATTTATATCTAAAATTTAAATAATAAAAATAGTTTATATTGAACAAGTGGTTTTAGTTAAACTGAAATGAGTTTAGCCCGTTTAAGTATTTCAGTATAACACCTTTCCAATATGCATTGTATGCAGGGCATTGTTACACGTTTTTTGTTTTGTTTTTGATTAAATCCGAATTGGTTCCCTAGCCCCAACCCTACGTGCCTAATTGGTTCCCGTTTAATTACGCACATTTCCCTTCTCAATTTTACAGGACTGTCAACTTAAAAGTAGGCTTGGTTAAAAATGTGCATTAATGTGTTTTAAAAAAGATATAGGTAATAAAGAAAATTGAAAATCATTGACTTGGAAGTCAACTAGTCAACACTTAGGTTAGGTGTACAAAATACAAATAATAAAATACAATTTAAAGTGTTACACACTTACTGGCTTTTTTTTTTTACTTATAATCATCTTTCTTAATTTAAACCTTGTAAAAGGCACAGTCGCATAGGCCATAAAACATAATTATGTGGTTGATAGTACCTTTTTGCCTTTGGCATATGTCTTAGCGGCTAGCAGATTCTTCTACTCACTTACAAACTCAAACAGAGCAGCTTACTACAACTTAAATGAAAGCTCTCCAAAAATTTGCCGTTTCAAGAGAGGAAGACCCCACAACCGCAGAGAGCAACATCTACCACCAGTCACTGCCTAGATCGGATACATCATGCCAGATAATTAAATAATTTAAACCTATTATTTAATAATTTAATATTTTATTATTATATCTCAAATATGCAAAATGAAAAAAAACATTTGTATGATTTGTAATTTGTATCCCTATTAGTATTGTAGGTCAGTGAGATACTATACAAATGAAAACGCTAGAAGATTAATAATAAAATATTGAGCTTTTATATATTTGTTCTACAATAATATTAAACAAAACTTAAAATAACTTGAACAGCCATATACAAGGTTGTTGCGAATCCAGCAAACCATGATAAACCTCTAGCCGGTTGTGGTAAAACAACCACAGCATAAACTATTGTATGAATTATTCTACTTGCTACAAATAATCTTATTAAATTGGTAGCAATATATACATTTGGAATCGTTAATAAGTATCCAAAACATACAATAATAAATAGTGGAATATTTTCTAAATCATTGAGATGAGCCCTGCAAAAAAAATGTGATTATAAATATATATATTAATAGGTAATATATGAAATGTATAGTAATATACCTTCTGACTCTTTCAATATCAGCATCATCATACTTCACTTTAGATTTTGGATTCATTTTTGCATCTTCAGGGTTAGCAAATACCTATCAAACAAAATAACTTGTTATTATTATTCATATTTAGTTCTAATTATTCTATGAATACCTATTTTGAATATTTTAATCAAATTATACCTATACCAAAATGTATTTTTATTAAATTATGCATAACTGAGTAGATATTATACATTTATGTAGGTATTAAACTATTAAATAAATAACGTGTGAATGGAATTATGTGTTAATTGATTATTACTAAATGAACGAATTACACATCAACATTCATTTGGTTATAAAATTCCTCGTAAAATCCATACATTATCTTTTGCATGTCAATAAATGGATAAATTAATAAATACAATAAATTATTTAGGGAACTTAACATTTGAAAGACTTTAAACAAAATTGTTTTATAAATAAAATAAATAATCTAAAAACAATGGTCAAACTAGTATTTTGAAACACATCAAAAAGAATGTACCTAATTAGAAGTTATATAATATTTGAAGAATGATATTATTATGTTTACTACAATTAAAGGTAGTAGTCTGACATTTTAATTCCGTTGTCCATTTTACAAGTAAATATTAAAACTATTATTTTAAGAATCAACAAATGATTATACCTACTCCATAAGATTTGAATTGACTCTAATATTATTAAAATTCTAATGTTATTATGGGTATGACTGTATGAGATATAATAACTAATACTATTAGGTAGCATGTACCTAAATTATATTTTACATAATACACTAATTATTGATGTACTTAGCACTATTTACTATCCATTTTTTTAAAGAAATCAAAACTATTTTTTTTTAGATTTAATTATTATTTTCCAAATATTTTGCAGACTAACCACTAACATAACAAAATTTCATTATTTATTGTGAGAAAATAAAGTTAATATTTTTAAGCAAAGAGTAAATAATATATTAATGTAAAATATTATACTACTATAAAAGTATTAGCATTTCATTATTTTTAGGAAAAAACATTACAATACTCAATATCTGCAATACTCAATGTAAGTACATATAATTGTAATATAAATGTTGAAATAGGTACTGAATAGTATTGTATTCACACACAATGGTAGATGAAGTAATTTATATTGATAAATTAGAAATAAGAAGAATTCAAGAAAAATATTATAGTATAATGGTAGGTATAATAATAGTATAATAATTGTGATAATATACACAACTGTTGGTATGCTTCGTATGTATATCGTCGTATTGATTTAAAATTAAATACCCATCACCTATGGGCTATGACTGTGAAGTATGGATTATCATAATATTTTACATATTATTATTATTTTAATTACCATTTTCGCGAAACGTTGTTTGGCCGTCAGTGGGGCCATTGCGAGTACTTTCAGCACTAATATGGCCGTGTAAAACACGTACGTTCTGAACAAAACTTCATCGACTTCAAATGAAATCATCGTGTAGTGTTTACGGTTACGGGGAACGGAAAGCGAAGTAATAAATAATAATTAATAAATGGATATTGTACGGGACGCGAGGGACGTGAACAATTCCAATTTCCTGCCGACTGAGTAGGTACTGAGTGTCTGACGAAGTATCAAGTGACGAATGTTTCACGTTTCTCGTTAGTCGTTACTATTTAGTATTTACTGTAATACTGTCTAGTCATAAGTCATAACTCAAAATAAAAATTAATCATTAGTATGTTGGTTACTCGTTTGTATTTTGTAATTTTTAGTTTCGAATGTTTTGATGGTGGCACGAACAAAATATGATAATAGTATGTTATTATTATTCTTGTTCCATGACCTCTCAGCGCAGACACGCACTGCGTCGACCAATACACGTTAGAGTACCCATTATATATTATATCTGTCGTCCATGTTTTATTTTGTGTTTTTAGATTCTGAGCGGAGCGATGAATGTATTGGTTTTACAATGATGTATGTTTTTATATTTTTATATTTTTATATTTTTATATTTTTATATTTTTATTTATATTTTTGTGTCTGTCATCACGTTTTGGGACAGTAAAAGTGCTTCGATTTTCTTCAATAGTACCTTTTCTGATAGGAAAGTGAATCTAGTTGGTACTTTGGGGGGTCAAAAGTAAACATTTTCCAGTAGTTTTCACAAGCGCCGGGAAAAACAACATAAAAATTAAGGAAAAACGGGAATTTTTACGCAAAATCGATTTTCCAAAAAATCGAATTTGGTTATTGGTGTAACTTTAAAACAAATGACCGTAGATACATGAAATTTTCACTGGTTGTTTATATTTGCATTTTCTATACACGATAACATTTTCAAAATATTTTGATTTATTTTGAACTGTTTAGGGACATTTTCATTTTTCATTTTTTTTTAGTTTTTTTTCTAGAAATATCAATAAAATTTTATTTGTTCGTTGCGAAAGCTTGAAAATTTAATAGAAGGCTCCTAATATGTTGTTTCAAAGGCAGATGAAAAATATTAAAAATCCATAGTCACAATTTTTTTTATAAGCATTTAAAGTTCAAAAATTGACAAAATATGGAAAAATCACGAAAATTAGCAAATTATTTTGAGTTAAGAATTCGTAAAAATTTTTCTTTTTAAATCTAAGATTTGAAAATGAAACACAAGATTCCTTATAAGATTATCTACCTTTATCAATAAAAAAATCTCTACCGGACAGTCAAATTAAATTTTTATGAGCGTTTGAAATTCAAATTTTTACAACATTGGATATTCACTCGATTTCTCATGTAGCGATTTCCTTATTTTGTTGTAATTCAAAAACGAACAACCGTAGATACATGAAAATTTCACTGAATGTTTAAATTAGCATTTTCTATACACCATACAATTTTGAAAATATTTTGACTCTTTTTGAGCTGTTTATGGACATTTACAGCTTTCAATTTTTTTAGTTTTTTTTTCTATAAATATCAATAAAGTTTTATCTGTTGGGCCAAAAAGTGTAAAAATTTAATACAAGGCTCCTGATATATTGTTACAATATCAGTTGAAAAATATTAAAAATACATAGGCACGATTTTTTTTTATAAGCATTTAAAGTTGGAATTTTGACAAAATTTATCAAAATCTCAAAAATTATCAATCGTTGGAATTAAAAAATTATAAAATGTTCAGTTTTTATAACTAAGAGTTGAAAATTTAAAACAAAGATTCTCTTAAATAATTCATACTGTAACCAAAAAATCTAAAATATATATAAACACACTTATTTTTTACAGACATTTTAATTTCAAATTTGGACGAAATTACATATTAAAAAACCTAGAATAACTATTTTAGTTATTTTGTTGTGATTGAATAATATTATTCGTGGGTACTTGAAACTTCTAAAGTGTACTATTATATATCTATGATAGTATCACGGTTTTTGTTGTTGTATAACGCGTTATAAGTATCTAATGGATATTGTGATATGATTAATTTGGAATTTATTATAGGTACCTATTATAGGTCAATTTTTTGTTTAATACCATAGATATGTATATAATATGTCTTATACATAGACTGACATACCGTCTCCGCTCAGAATCGTTTTTCTTATACAATGATATTATATCATTGAATTCAAATTTAATACCATCCATTATACAGTGACCCACTTGTAACCTACTGTACAGCAGAGCGACACCCACTTGCCCACCTTTTTTTTATTTGTATAACTTACTATACGTCTATACTACGTGATACTACTAAATACCAACTAGTATACATATATATATATATATATAGTACCTACTAATGTACTATTATACACTACGGCTTAAATATACAAGGTTACTGCAATAGTACCCCCACTATATCATTTTATCACTTTAAGGAATTAAAATGGCAATGTAAGGACTATAAGGGGACAACGAATACTGGCTATACTATACTATGAATTATGATATTACATATATGCATGATATGGACCTTAGATCATCTAAGATATGGACCGTAGTCCGTACCCTTACGCTGCCATTTTATTTTTGTTTGATAACAATATGAGCTATGTGCAATAACCTTGTTTATTTAAACCATGCTTTACACTATTACAGTCTACATGACTACGTGACACATGTTCTCTTACTCACTATTCAGTATTCACTATAAACATAATATTATATTCTACGACCTACGTGGATTTTAGATTCTGAGTGAAACGATGAATGTATTGATTTTACAATGATGTGTGTTTTTTTAGATTCTGAGCGGAGCGATGAATGTATTGGTTTTACAATGATGTATGTTTTTATATTTTTATATTTTTATATTTTTATATTTTTATATTTTTATTTATATTTTTGTGTCTGTCATCACGTTTTGGGACAGTAAAAGTGCTTCGATTTTCTTCAATAGTACCTTTTCTGATAGGAAAGTGAATCTAGTTGGTACTTTGGGGGGTCAAAAGTAAACATTTTCCAGTAGTTTTCACAAGCGCCGGGAAAAACAACATAAAAATTAAGGAAAAACGGGAATTTTTACGCAAAATCGATTTTCCAAAAAATCGAATTTGGTTATTGGTGTAACTTTAAAACAAATGACCGTAGATACATGAAATTTTCACTGGTTGTTTATATTTGCATTTTCTATACACGATAACATTTTCAAAATATTTTGATTTATTTTGAACTGTTTAGGGACATTTTCATTTTTCATTTTTTTTTAGTTTTTTTTCTAGAAATATCAATAAAATTTTATTTGTTCGTTGCGAAAGCTTGAAAATTTAATAGAAGGCTCCTAATATGTTGTTTCAAAGGCAGATGAAAAATATTAAAAATCCATAGTCACAATTTTTTTTATAAGCATTTAAAGTTCAAAAATTGACAAAATATGGAAAAATCACGAAAATTAGCAAATTATTTTGAGTTAAGAATTCGTAAAAATTTTTCTTTTTAAATCTAAGATTTGAAAATGAAACACAAGATTCCTTATAAGATTATCTACCTTTATCAATAAAAAAATCTCTACCGGACAGTCAAATTAAATTTTTATGAGCGTTTGAAATTCAAATTTTTACAACATTGGATATTCACTCGATTTCTCATGTAGCGATTTCCTTATTTTGTTGTAATTCAAAAACGAACAACCGTAGATACATGAAAATTTCACTGAATGTTTAAATTAGCATTTTCTATACACCATACAATTTTGAAAATATTTTGACTCTTTTTGAGCTGTTTATGGACATTTACAGCTTTCAATTTTTTTTAGTTTTTTTTTCTATAAATATCAATAAAGTTTTATCTGTTGGGCCAAAAAGTGTAAAAATTTAATACAAGGCTCCTGATATATTGTTACAATATCAGTTGAAAAATATTAAAAATACATAGGCACGATTTTTTTTTATAAGCATTTAAAGTTGGAATTTTGACAAAATTTATCAAAATCTCAAAAATTATCAATCGTTGGAATTAAAAAATTATAAAATGTTCAGTTTTTATAACTAAGAGTTGAAAATTTAAAACAAAGATTCTCTTAAATAATTCATACTGTAACCAAAAAATCTAAAATATATATAAACACACTTATTTTTTACAGACATTTTAATTTCAAATTTGGACGAAATTACATATTAAAAAACCTAGAATAACTATTTTAGTTATTTTGTTGTGATTGAATAATATTATTCGTGGGTACTTGAAACTTCTAAAGTGTACTATTATATATCTATGATAGTATCACGGTTTTTGTTGTTGTATAACGCGTTATAAGTATCTAATGGATATTGTGATATGATTAATTTGGAATTTATTATAGGTACCTATTATAGGTCAATTTTTGTTTAATACCATAGATATGTATATAATATGTCTTATACATAGACTGACATACCGTCTCCGCTCAGAATCGTTTTTCTTATACAATGATATTATATCATTGAATTCAAATTTAATACCATCCATTATACAGTGACCCACTTGTAACCTACTGTACAGCAGAGCGACACCCACTTGCCCACCTTTTTTTTATTTTTTTTTTTATTTTTTTTTTTATTTTTGTTGCTGTCATCACGTTTTAGGACAGTAAAAGTGCTTGGATTTTCTTCATCAGTAGCTTTTCTGATAGGAAAGTGAATCTAGTTGGTACTTTGGGGGGTCAAAAGTATAAATTTCCCAATAGTTTTCACAAGCGCCGGGAAAAACAACATAAAAATTAAGGAAAAACGGGAATTTTTACGCAAAATTGGTTTTCCAAAAAATCGATTTTGGTTTTTGGTGTAACTCTAAAACAAATGAACGTATATACATGAAATTTTCACTGGTTGTTTATATTTGCATTTTCTATACACGATAACATTTTCAAAATATTTTGATTTATTTTGAACTGTTTAGGGACATTTTCATTTTCCATTTTTTTTTAGTTTTTTTTCTAAAAATAGCAATAAAATTTTATTTGTTGGTTGCGAAAGCTTGAAAATTTAATAGAAGGCTCCTAATATATTGTTTCAAAGGCA